CAGTTTGGCAGACTTGGCCCCGGATTGAAGGACCTGGTCGTGGACCAGGTGCCCCCCACCTGTTGGGAAGACATGCCATTAAACTGTCAACAGGTTAACTTGTTGCCCATCTTCTGCTTTTTAGCCAGGAGTCATTACATCCACACGATGCTTCCTTTTTTCTTTTCTTTTTGTACCATCCACACAATGCTTCCTTTTTTCTTTTTTTTTTACCTTTACTGTAGCTTTTTTCCTAAAAACGAACACAACATCTGGTTGTCAGTTGATTGCTGCATTGCTGCAAATGTTTATTGACTAATTATGCTCAGAAATAGAGAGAGACACACTTTCAAATTTGCTTCACACAGATGAAAAGAACATTCTATCGCATGTGCTGTGTGATCACATGACAGGATCAAATGTCCAGAGCAGTCTGGTTTCTGTGGAAAGAAGGAGGGCCAAGAGTTGATCTCTATCTCCCAGACCTACGGTCTATATTTCACCAGTGTTGCGTAAAAAGTCTGAGGCAACTTGGAATGGCCTCATGGAGGACATCTCTCCATGGACATGGACATGGACATGCTGCACTACTGAGTTAGTGAGGAAAGTTTTCAGGGTTGACTAAAATAATCAATTATTTGACCAAGTTTAACTTTCATTATTCAGCACACCCTTGCTTTATATGAATTAAAAGGAAATTGTTGACAAGACAAACTCTGGTTATAAATTAATTTAAAAGAGAATCTTTAAACTACTTGGTAACTTTAAACATACAGGTTGTTACAGTGTCAAATATTTTATAATAAAACATACTTTTAAAATATGAAAATGAGGAATCTCCTAAGGTACTTTAATACCTAAATAAATTTAAACATTTTGTGTTTTAAATTAAATTATTTAACGCACAATAAAAGTGTAGTATAATTTAAACCATAGTAACTCATTGGGTTTTATGCAGTAAATGTGCCTAATATGTAGAGTAAGTGCCAGCAGAGAGCTGTGTTCAACAGGCGAGAAAGTAATTGCCTGCACAGCTGCTCTTTGGGGTTTGTAATACCTGTAACTGCGTTAAAGAAAAACTACACATTATGTGAAAATCTTTAACAAAAAATATTTCATGTGTTCTGTGCTTGTGGGGCAGTAAGTTCTCAGGAAAAGAGATGTAAATTACATTATATGGAGCATTGGAGTGCACCTAAATTTCAGCAATTACAGTTTCTTAATTTTCTTTTATTTATGTAATAAAAGCAGGAGAAAATTGCTTTACTTGGTTTGATATTCTCAAGCTTCCACTCAGATGTTTGCTCTCACATCCTGTCATTTCTGGATGTGACTGTGACTTTTCCAAAATGAGAACTTGCACCAAGGAAGATAGATTATAGTCATTGTGTTCCTTTCTTTCTATCAGTTTCTCTCTTTTGCTGCTCTCTCTTTCTTTGCTCGTCTGTCACTTTCTGGTTGCAAGGAGAGCGAATGGTACTAATTTATGTAACTTAAGTGCCTTAAATAAAAACGAGAGAAGAAATATTGTGCAATCATAGAGTACGACAACCCAGAATGATAGATGGTAATATTTTAAGAGAGAGAATTGTACATATGTCGGAGCACTCACTAACATCTCCAGCCTCTCTAATCTCACACTCTTTTATTTACATGCAGTACTGTAGGAATAAACACTGGTTTGAATTCAATGCTCTGTCCTCAGTCACAAATTAGAACAACATAACATTGTAATTACTAGCAAGAAAAAAAGTCCAGAAATAATGTAACATGTTAACATGACCTTGCATCACATTATACTCTTCTTTATCACTTAAGAATAATAATTAAAAAAAGACGAAATCTAATACCAACTGACTGATAATGCCATTGGTATTCTAATTAAAGTTGCATCATCCAGAAAAGTTTTTCCATGGACTATTGTAATTAAACTTGAAACCTCTTACAAGAATTTTAAACCTTTATTTCCTTTTTATTAAATACCAAAACCGGTATTTGCATTTTTAATAATTTCTGGTTTTTGTATATATTTATGCTCATAGTTGTAAACATGGAGATTAGTATTGATCTCCTCATCTTCAGTAACAGTCCATTGGATTAGGTCTTCGTTCTTGACCATTGCTGCCATGACCACTGTTTTCAGTTTATAAGTGCTTTATTAGTGGGAGCTTAAAATGTTTAAAGGGTAGAAGATGCACAAGTGGTGTAAGTATTCGGCTCTGGATTACAAAGTCAAGTATGTGTTTGGTGTTTTCTGCAAACTATTTTTAAGTCCCTTTACTCTGGCAGCAGCAAATGCCACCACTGAGTTTTGGGTGGTGTTGGTTTGTAGTTGGCAACTCGCTGTCAAATGAGCTTTAATGCCACGGCTTTGTAGAACAGGCCAATCACTAAAGGTCCCTGCACAGCATGGAGAGCTGCAGCGGTCATTGCCAATTAGTATGACAGGGAGATTTGCTAACGTCCTTTTCCTTTAACACCAACCACAATCCCAGCACACACTGACGTCTGTGTTACCGTAGGTCTTTCAGGGATCACAGTTGACGTCTCCTGCACTTCAGCTTATAGTGGAACAAAAAGCACACTGGCTGCAGCAGGCTGATAGACATTAGCTTATAGTGTGGTGTAAAATTTAGGACACAAGAGTCTACTTAAGGAGACAAGGCGTCTCCTGGTCTAATCCTTTCAGCTGTCAGAGTATATCTTAAAAAAAAAGTTAATTGGGTTTGCTGGAGGAAAAGAAAATAAATACAAAAATTAGTACACAGTGCCCAGTCAAATTATTTTCAATTTACATAATAGAAGTTTAAGAGCACAATATATCTATCAATATATATTCTAAAGTCTCCCTTTGACCTTATTTGTGCATTATACCACTGTCTACATTTTGCATCAGTAGCCCCCATACTTCTAACACTTATATACTTTATATATTTTTATTCACTTTAAATGTATCACCTTTGTAAAACCATGGACTTTGCCCCTATTCTGCTCATATGTAGTGGCTGCTGGTTGATCTGTGGCGAACCATTGGCTCCAGATTGTGGAGTGAATAATAATCCATAGTGATTAACAAGTTTTCTTCCCTTTGACGTAAATTCAATGACATCCTTAGTCAGGTAGTAAGGTAGCTCAAACCAAAAAAATTAATATTTGCCAGCAAACATAATTTAACAATGTCATTGACATTCAAAATTAAATTTGCGGAAAGAAATTACATTTGGATCATTTACAAAGCGGAAAGAAATTACATTTGGATCATTTATAAAGAGATGTGATAGGAAAGAATGTTTTAAATAAATAAAAAAAAAAACGTTTTAATAATTTATTAGCCTTTTGATCCCTTTTTAAAGCAAAATTATTAATCAAACACATTTTTAAGTCTGGTTAATTAAACCAGATATATTAAATATTTCCAATACTGTTAGCAGAACTAAAAAACTGAGGTCATAAATAACTTTTAATACACATACAGAAAAATACATTTTATTTCTAAAAATATATTCCATTTTATTCATGATCATTCCAATAACTTGACATTTTAAAGGGGATTTGACTTTAGTTTGCAAAGAAGACCTCAGCCAACTAACACACACTTTAGTTGCCCTAATGTTAAGTTGGCACTTTTACATAAACTCTTAGTTTGAAAAGGTCAAGTAACCGTCCTCAGCCAGGAGCTCTTCTGAGCAGCACCCTAGTTTTCCTTTAAGCACCAATAGTTGAAAAAATATGGCAGGGACTATTTAAGAAAATAATGCATAATAACTAACACTTACAGTGGTGAGTGAAATACAGTCTGCAGACACATGCTGTGATGCACAAAAGCCTTGATGATTAATTAATGTAATTGTAATGTAATACCAGAGCTAAAATACCCCTAAAAGGAAATAGATTGGAATCGTCTTTATTGTCATTGTAAAGCAGTAATACAATGGAATTGAGGAATAAGAATAAGAGAATCAGAGTGATTTTACAGAAAAAAAAATCATTTTACATCTGAACTGTATAGAATTTAAACATGGTGACATTCACCTGTGTGCAACTCATTTGCAAACTTTGGGAAACTTTGCAACCACCAGCAGTATGTTTTTTTTTCAAATATCTTTTATTAATAGACACATTTCTTATTTGTTTTTCGAGGTTCCTGTGTCCTTCCAGGGACGGCTTAGCAGCTGGCCACTAATATAATTTTGTCTGGCTTTTATAGTGTCTAATTGTAAAGCCTGTGCTTGAATAACTACAAAATCATAGGCTACTTAACTAAAACAGAGCTGTTACATTTTTACTAATGGTCCCTAAGAAAACAGACTGAGGTGGACCTGGGAGAATATCTCTTTCATTACCTGTGAGTTTGTTCTTAAATATAAAAGTCATAGCAAAATGAATAACTGTCCTGACAGAACCTTAAAAAACACACACACACACACACACTTTAAGAAAGTAAGTAATGTTTTATTCATTACAATACAGAGGCCTAAGCAGATGCTAATGAATGTCTCTGAGTTTTTCTTACATACTCAGAAATGGATTGATTTGTTATGCTGTTTTCTTTTTTAAGATTTAAAGAAAAAACATTTTCTGTAAAATCTCTGTACTAACTCTGTACTGTATTATATAAAAGACACCCTCAAATGTACAGCAGTATTACTAAGGTTCTGGAAGATGAAACCATGTTGTTGTATGATAAGAAATGGTTCGGTCAAGTGTTGGTCAAGTGCATGGTGTAGTAACGTTTTATAACTGATACATCTGATGATATTTTACTTTATTTCATTCAAACCTGCCTATTTGAATTAGCTTAGTTCTACTGACATTAGCATTAGCACTACTTTTATGTAAAGCTTAGTTATTCAGCTCAGCTATCCAACAAAGCTTTAGATTAATATGTAGGTAATCTATGTAGCGTTACTTAGCAATGTAAGAAAGACAGCACAGCTATCTTGTTTTTACCCATTACCTGTCATTGTGTGTATGAATAACCCTGTGTTTGTGCCAGTAACCTTTTTTTTTATTTCTTTCAGTGTCTGAGTCAGTTGAGGATGTCATCACAAGCTGCATGTTACCTCATCTCTTCCTCCTCTTCATCGTAAATGTCCAAGCTGTTGCTATGCAGGTACATCATGTTCATCCCCTTGACATGCTCTACAAGTGAAGGTTGCACTTCATAAAATATCCTCCCAACCCCCAATTTTTAACTCATATTGTAGCTTTCCTGGAAATGCTTAAATGATGACTCAATAGTAACTCTCCTCCAACATGCCTTATTGACCAGAATCCTTAGTCATGTTTTCCACAGACTGGTAGGAGGTGCTCAAGTTGGTTAAAGCAAAACCTCATCTCTGATATCTTAACCATAAAACCTGCATGATACATGGTAAATGTACCAAGTAGATTTTCTGTTATTTTATCTGATTTCTGCCTGACAGTTTAACAATACAGTTAAACATGGGTTGATAATGATTTCAATTATTGACTTTCTACTGTTACCATTTAATAATATGATATTCTTGTGACTCAAGCTGCCAGGGGGAAATTTTCAGGCAACGTGAAAATATTGCGTAGTTTATGTCAGACATGGACACAATTTTAAATTTTGTACAGGCAGATTTTTGAGTGTGTCAAATCTGGAAGGTTATGATTGCACTACTAGCCATTGTTCTACAAATAAGTTTGGCAATTAACCTGTCTCAGGCAACACATTTTTAGACAGGCATTTTTAGCTAACCTAAAAAAAAATATAAAAAATCAACTATATCACCTAACGCAACCATATGAAATTATTGCAGGAAACCATTTGATCTCTGACAGGTATTCTCTCAGCCTCAGCTACAGCCTACTTTCTAAGACATGTCAGCCACTGATCTTTTCCTATATATTCAAGAGCTCTGTGGTTTCTGGTTTGGACCAGTACAGCACTTTTACCCCCCTAAGGGTGTATGTCTGCTCTCGATGACAGAGTCGATGACTGCATTGTACAATAGTCATCTGTCTGTCGGGAGAAAAAATCTTTCTGTTTTTACAAATATTGCTACCCTCATTAGCTCTGTATGGGCTGTGGTTTGGACTTGATCACTGATACATCAGTACAACCAAAAGTATTGTCCTCATTTTGGAAAATAGTATTCTTTTTTGCACTATAAATCAAATACTGTTTTTGTTGGGTCTAATCTCTCCTGTACTCACCTGAAGACAAAAGAGAAAATACCAACCTCTTACATTTTCATTTCAATTTCCAGATATAACCAAGAAGCGAAAATAGAAGTAAATAGTTGCCTTATTGCACTATTCTTTACATATATCTAAATGATAAAAATGAATATTTTAATTACAAATCCCACAATTAGTCACGGGATATTTTTGTCCTATGTAAATCACAGTTTGTTTAGCCACATTCTTAACCCCAGTATAGCTTCATTTGACATCCTGGCTCATGAAAATGTGTTGCATTTACTGAACTTTTTTTAAAAATATGAAAACACTAGTTTTTACAAGGTTGCAATTCTCATTTCACAGAAGAAATTAAAATTCCAATTTAGATTTCCTCCCCAGAATGGGCCACGTCCTTCACCTTGGGAACAACTACCTAAACTATTGAATGTAAATAGACGTTCTGCTCTTCTTTTTTACCACACAGATTGAGATGTAGCAGTTCTACAAAGTTTCTACATCTCATTCTTTAGTTGCAGCAGCCTCAAGGATTCCACTTTTGGATCTGGTAGCCCACCCCTGTAGCATGTCAAACGAAGACCGCTGTGGAACTGACAAAAACAGAAAGCCTCCCCAGCCAAAACTTTTGTTTTTAATTAACAGCAGGGCATAAGGCAGAACAAGCAGGAGCTGTTATATTAGAGCCAACATTCCCTCTGCTAAAATATCACTGGCAGTTCCTCTGCAGTTTATCATCTGCTTTTTTATTTTAAGTCATCTCTCATAACAATATTGTCAGGTGCACAGCATAGCCAGTGATACAATAACTCATGCCCCACTCCTGTCAAACTGTCAAAGGTCATAACCTTGCCCCTTTCTGCCCCTCTCTATGACCTGAAGTATATCAAGTGCTGCACTGTAAAGAATGTAAACTACGGCTAAAACCTGTGGTGGGGGGAAAAATTGATGACTGGGTGTAAGAAAATCCCTTAGGTTTGTACACCTGTAGCCAGCAGATAAGAAAGACGAGGAAAAGAGATGAAGTCCATTTTGGCTCCAACATCAGCGGGAACTAATTGACTCCATTCTCTACAGATGTCTCCCCACTTTATTAAACGATACCTGGCAAATCCCACAATCTGTCATTGTGCCTGTGTCTGGCACTGGTTGAAGAGATAAAGAATAAAACATTAACTCAACCAGGTATAACTCACCTTTTGTTTTAGACGGCTCCGACGTTTTTGCTTTTTTCATTTTGTCTGAATGTCTACTTACGATATTATATTTTATATTAACTCTATATGAGTTTGTGCAGTAGTTGATGATAACAGTTACTGATACCCGTCAAATAAAAACCTTAAATAAGTCATTTATGTTAATTACTTGAACCTCCTAAGATCAGAAGTGTTTAATTTTTCTTTGCTATTTGGGCTGGATTATCTTCTTACATGATGTAGTTCCTGAGAAAATGTGTTTTTAATTTTGATAAAACACAATAATCTTTGCCTTTTATACTGTTTTTCTACAGTACCTTCTACTCTCTTCAGATTATTTGCTGTATGTGCAGGTCTTCGAGTCAGCATTAACTATCTTTGGGAGAGTGGAGTTTTTACGGAAACCATGTGTATGTGACGCTAACTGAAATTGAGAAGTGATCTAAGTTTGATTAATGCCCAGCGTTTGTTATCATGAACCATTCATGAACTTGAACAGGAGTGAGCAGGAGGGCGTTCACAATCTATCTCAAGGACCATTTGACATGATACATGGTTGTTGATAGACACTCGGTGGCTTTTTTTCTGTGATCAAAGCCATGACCTTTCAGTAATTGGATGGTATCTCATACTACTGGGTCACCCTGTCGAGCTGAATCACATTCCTAACCATATATTTTAGAACATTATTCACAGACTCTTAAAGAATGAAATTTTTTTTATCCAGCATCCCTTTTATTGCATTTCGTAATTGTTAGTATATCTGTGCTTTTAGCTTTTCAAAGTAGGAGTTATACTAAATATGTGCCATCTGATTAGGAGGAAACAGCCGAATGTCTGCATTTAGAATGAATTTGACTGCATTTATGAAAAGTTTTGCTTTTACCCTAAAGGTCACACTTACCACAGTATCAAACTCTGATACATAAACATGTTCAGATCCTCCACATTGATCTTTCCCTCTCGGTTGGTTTCTGGCATGCTACGACTGATGAAAAATATTACAATACAACGTCTTTGTAGGGCTTAATAAACCATTTAATGTTTCTCATCTCTCGGGCTGTTCGTTAATTACACTAAAATTGTCTATTCTAACAAGTAACAGTACAATCTGTGTCCAGTGAACACTGCTCCTGCTGACTGTCTTTTTTGTTGTCTCCCTTTTCCTCTGGATAGCGACCTCAACCACTCTGGGATTCTGACACTTCATCCAACATCCAACTTCCCTCTTTGGATGAATCTCTGGTAAAGGTAAGTTTTAGTGGAAAACAAATTAAAGACAATTTCCTGATAATGACAGTGCATATCTCTTCTCCTAATTGAAGCAAAATGAAAAAAAAAGAAGATTATGAAACCATGTTGTTTTTTAGTTTAGATTCCTGAGAGATGCCACAACATGTTTTTATTCCTAAAATCAGAAACCTTTTATGACCATTTTGAAAATTAAAACACACTAAAGTAAACACACTTACCAAGCATTGTGTTCTTTAGTTTCCTTTCAAACTTTGTGTCTGTTGCTAAATTACTTTTTGCCCTGTGCCTCTTGATCCTTAATGCTGACCATCACAGCATGGTGGTGTTATTGGCTGCATTGTAATGCTGTTCAAGTGAATGTTTTTCTTCAGGCATAGTGCACAAAGATATGGTTCCCACAGTACAGTGGCTCTGATTTATAAAGCTGCAGCATGGCTGGTTCAAGGACACTAAAGCTCAGAAAAAATGTACAACTGCTGAGCTTCCATGGAGGCATAATGAGTCTCCTCTGTCTACAGTCTTGTAAATATTCATGCTTAGGATTGGGACATTCAGGTCAACTCTGACTCTGCTCAGCCAAAAAAAAAAAAAACCATGATCATAAGCCTCTTGTATGCACAAAAGCTTCTGTAATGATAAGGAGAAACATTAGCTTTTTAAGATCAGTGAAGAGCACTAATAAAAAAAGCACAATGTTTAAACAGTGACCATCAAAGGCATAGCTAGAAATCTTGAAGAAAGGGAAAAGTTTTTGATTGCTCGTCCTCTGGTCTACAGTTTTTGGCCTCTTTTAAAACAGAGTATAGGTTACACTGTGTTAGGATGTAGGCTAGAATTCTTAATATTCCATGTCTCTTGGACAGAAAAGGGATTGTCCTTTGTGTCTATATTTGACTCCATAAACCAAATATTATTTTGTTTTTTGAAGGTAACCCTGGGTTCCATTTTGTTCTGCAACACATTGGAACTACTGTCCAATGTTAAGGTAAGGTTCTGTATATTCCACGATTGCTTTTAAGGTGGTGCAATGAAGTGTAATTTAAAGAAGAGTTTAGCAATCATTCACAGCACCTATGTCTACTTTAACTTTTATACTGATTCATACTGATCCGTGGTTTCTATTCAGTTTCGGATTAAACGGCAAACTTGTTGACTAACTGTGAAACATTTTGCCATTCCCTCACTCCTGACTTAATTTCGGAGTGACTCCCTCAATCATTCCTGATTACCCGTTTCCCAAGGTCATCCTCTGACTTGTAATAGAGGACACGCTCACTTGTACTCTGCTGCGTCAGCTCCCCCATTGTTTCTTTCCTTTAATGATGTTGAAGTGCGAGCTCATTGTTCACTATTAAACCAAAAGCCATTTTGACCCCTCCCCCTTGTCCCCTTGTCCCTTCAGACATATTGAGACATATCTTACATGCATACAGTAAACTTGCAAGGGCTCCTAATTTAGCAGGTGTGACTGTCGACAGCTTCCTGGTTGGGGCCGGATTTACAGCCCAGCAACATTTTTTTTGGAGGATTTCTTCCACCTCCAGGCACAGAGTGCGACTGTAAAAGCTTGCAGTCGTCACAAAAAGCCACAGAGAGAGAGCAAGGGT